TCGGCTACAAACTCGAGAGCAAGGCGTATAGACTCTATGATCCTGTGGGGGGACGAGCTCACGTGTGGTCGTCTTCATCGGCTACGAACCCGGGAGTATGTAACGACAACTAACGGTGCCCTACTTCCCCCAGCAGAAGGGGGTGGTGGAACGCCAAAATTTGAAGGTCGTTTTCATCGGCTACAAACTCGGGAGCAAGGCGTATAGACTCTATGATCCTGTGGGGGGACGAGCTCACGTGTGGTCGTCTTCATCGGCTACAAACCCGAGAGTAAGGTGTATAGTCTCTATGATCCTTTGGGGGACGAGCTAACGTGTCTCGCGACGTTATCTTCGACGAAAGCACCTTCTGACAATGGAACGACGTGATCGAGGCAGACCACAACCCAAATCAACTCACGGTGGAGTACCTCGTCACCGAGTCGGAAGAAGAAGGAGCACAGCATCAGGAACCGTCACCACTGCTAGCAGCTGCACCCCCTAAACCAGTGGAGTTTACAACACCACGAAACTCAGATTCGACGTTGGATGCCGATCACGATGATGATCTGGTGGCTAGGTACCGGAGGATGGATGACCTAGTGGGAGGAGGTGAAACTCCTGGACTAGCGCCGCATGAACTCGAACAAGAGGTGATCGAACTGCATGCCATCAGTGCAGATGAACCAAACACCTTCGCCTAAGCAGAAAGAAACCCGTGCTGGCTGAAGGCAATGTTGGAGGAGATGACATCCATCACTTAGAACCAGACTCCTAGTGGCTAGGTATCGGAGGATGGACAACCTAGTGGGAGGAGGTGAACCACTTGGACTGGCGCCACACGAACTCGGACAAGAGGTGGCCGAATTGCATGCCATCAGCGTAGATGAATCAAACACCTTCACCGAAGCAGAAAGAAACCTGTGCTGGCTGAAGGCAATGTAGAAGGAGATGACATCCATCACCGAGAACTAGACATGGAGTCTGGAGGACATGCCGCCGGGACACCGAACCATAGGGCTCAAATGGGTCTTCAAACTGAAGCGCAACGAAAAGGGAGAAGTTGTGAAACATAAGGCCCGTCTGGTGGCGAAGGGCTACGTTGATAACTCAGTCTTTTTGTATTTAATATGACACTCTTATTCACCACTTTCTCATTATTTGCCCCATTTATTCTACTTAGTGAACATGAAATCGTTATTGCGGTCCAACATGAAAAAAATATGATTTGGCATAAATCGATCTTAATTGTACATTTAATTGAGTTATGTGGTAAAATTTTAGACATTTCTGCTGAACCATGAGGGAGGTAGCAAATTTGGAAATAAATGGGGGATGACATGGAAATTTTAAATCCACAGTCAAAGTGGGTCATTGATTACCCAATGAGAAACATCCTATGTGGACAACTTATTCCTTTTCAGCCCTAAAGGGGAACCCATGCTCAATATAAAAGAAAAAATGAAGACCAAGAGGAGAGGAGACACACTTTGGGAGAAAAATCGAATTACACAGCAGCAGTCTCTGCTGCAGTGAACTGCTGTGAAACCAGAGAGGAAGAAGAAAACCCTAATCTAGTAGTTGTTGATAGCAGAAGGAAAAGGAGACCAACAAGGATTGATTAGGGCAAAGAGGTGGACGTGATAGCTCAAGAGAAGAGAACTTCCATTGAGGAACGACAACAAACCGGGATAGCTCTCTATGTCCTTATTCTCTTTTCTTATTCCATCAATTTTACATGATGAAGATGCGGATTTCTCTTTTTAATTCAGTTTGTATGGAAAGCTAAACTTTATAGGGGAGGGGAGATAGTTTTATATAGTTGAAGTATGTTGACGGTATGATTTTAGTTTATTAAAGAGTTGTTGTTAATGATTTACATGTGCGTTTAATAGCTACTTTACATACATAGTTGTTCTCTGATTCGGGAGAAGAGAGGGAGCAATGAAATCCTCTTTAACACTCTAGTTCCATAGCAAGGAGACTTGAAGGGTAATAAAAGGGTTAGGAATAATTTTTCTCCTAGAGCCTTGTTAATAAAAATTACAACGATTATGGAAATAATCACCATTCATGACCCTCGGAATCGATAATTTGAATGTTACCCAAAAACTCACTTAATTTCCTGCAATAAAATTAGCCAAAAAGATAGGTTCCCTGTGAAATCGATAATTTACTTATTACTTGCTACTTGTGATAGTGTATACTTGCACTTATTCTTGTGAATTTTACATCATTTTATTATATACATCCACAAGCGACCTAGTGGGAGGAGGTGAACCACCAAGACTGGCGCCGCGCAAACTCGAACTAGAGGTGGCCGAACTGCATGCCATCAGCGTAGATGAACCAAACACCTTCGCCGAAGCAGAAAGGAACCCATGCTGGCTGAAGGCAATGTAGAAGGAGATGACATCCATCACTGAGAACCAGATGTAGAGTCTAGAGGACATGGCACCGGGACACCGAGCCATAGGGCTCAAATGGGCCTTCAAACTGAAGCGCAACGAAAAGGGAGAAGTTGTGAAACACAAAGCTCGTCTGGTGACGAAGTTACGTCTAGAAGCAAGGAGTGGATTTCAAGGAGGTATTCGCGTCAGTGGTAAGGCTGGAATCTGTCCGCCTATTGCTGGCAATCGGTGCACATCATTCTTGGGAGGTCCACCACATGGATGTGAAATTCGCGTTTCTGAACGGAGAGCTAAAGGAGACCGTCTATGTTCGACATCCACCGGGCTTCCTAGACAACGAGAACCCTGACAAGGTATTGCGCCTGTATAAGGCACGCAAAGGTTGATAGTACCCTACTGTCGTTGAAGTTCAAGCGCTGTGCCTCTGAGCATGACATGTACACGCTCGGCCACGATGAGCAGTGACTGATCGTGGGAGTGTACGTCGACGACCTCATAATCACTGGAGGCAACATGGAAGTTCTCAAAAGGTTTAAGAGGGAGATGTCAAAGAACTTCAAGATGAGCGATCTCGACGTGCTCAGCTACTATCTCGACATCGAAGGCAACAGAGTATTACCGGCATCACCATCTGCCAAAGTGCGTACAGGAAGAAGCTGTTGGACACAACTGGGCTTGCGGAAAGTAACCTTACAAGGACGCCAATGGAGGCCCGACTCCAGCTAAGGAAGACCGGTACTACGTGGACAGTCGACGCCACAAATTACTGCAGCATTTTTGGAAGCCTGTGCTATCTGGTAAACACACGCCCTGACCTTGCTTACTCAGTTAGATATGTAAGTAGATACATGGAAGCACCTAGGAGGAGCATCTTGTGGCTGTCAAGCGCATCCTACGCTATGTGGCTAGAACCAGAGGCTAGGGTGTGAGATACTACGCAGTGAGAGGAAAGAAGAAGCTTGAGCTTGTCGGCTACAGTGATAGTGACATGGTCGGTGACGTTGATGATCATATGAGCACCAGCGGGATGATCTACTTCTTCTCAGGCGGTGCGATCTGCTGACAATCAACAAAACAAAAGGTAGTTGTTTGTCTTCCTGCGAAGCAAAATACATCGCCGCTTTGACGGCGGCAACACAGTGGGTCTGGCTTGCGCGACTAATGGAAGAACTCATCGGAAGAGAAAGAGATCCACCAATGCTATACTGGACAACAAAGCTACGATCTCCCTGAAAAAAAATTCAATTTTGCACGACCAGAACAAGCACATAGAAATCAGATTCCACTACATCCGAGAATGTGCAGATCGAGGGCTCCTCAAGATTGATTTCCTCCAAACAGAGGAACAGCTTGAAGACATTTTCACCAAGTCCCTGGCGCGGGTAAAATTTGAAGAACTATGCTCAAAGATCGGAGTTCAAATAATAAGGTAGATATATCATAGCTTTTAGGAGAAGATTGTTAGATAAAAGCTATGGTTTCCTTAAATTTTGTTAGTTGTTTTTTACTTTTGAAATATCTGAATTAACGCTCCCGTTTAATGGAATAGTGTAATTTTTGCTGGCTAAATATAGGATAGGTTTGTTATTTAAATATGTGAAACTGAATCAAATAACAATCATCGGGTCTTAAGGCAAATATTCTCTCATTTGTTTCCCGTTATTTTTTTCTTCGAAGAAGTTTTCCTTCGGTCGTTTTTTTCTCTATCGACGTTTTTCTCTCAATTGCCAGAAGTCAACATCCTCTTCCTCCATTACTTATTTCGGTTCGTCCTTTGACTTTTAGAACTTTCTCCTCTCTATTATTGCTCAAATTTTTGTTCATGCACCACTACTGAACTTTGTAATTCATCAATGGACATGTTATTAGTATCTTTGAATTCCTCAATGGATACTACAACATAAGTAAATTTTTCAGTCAGGGTACGCAGAATTTTTTCTACAATTTTATTGTCTGGCATATCTTCTCCATTGCTTCTCATATTGTTGGAGATTATCATCACTTTTGCAAAATAATCTGTGATACTTTTATCATTCTTCGTCTCTAGGATCTCAAATTCTCTCCTTAATGCATTCAGAAGAGATTTCTTCACTTTTTGGTTTCCACGAAATTTTCGCTTCATTGAGTCCCAAACAATCTTGGCTATGCGACGATCCAAGATTTGTTCAAAGACATTACGATCAATTGCCTGGAAGAGGTAGTGCTTTACTTGATGATCTTTGAGTCTAGCATCATGGAGGTGACCCTTTTGTGCCTCAGTCAACATTGTTTCTTCCTGGTTCTGAGAAACCATTCTCCACCACACTCCATAGATCTTTTGCTCTAAGGAAATTTTTCATCAGCTCACTCCAATGATCATAGTGACCATCGAAGTGAGAGATCTTCGTTAAAATTTTGTCTTCACTCATACTCTCTCTATTTGATCACTCAAAAATTGTGGCTCTGATACCAATTGTTAGGTTTCTACATAACTAACCAGAAACATAAACAAATGAAGTTTGAAGTGATGATCTCATTGAATACTGAACTTGGCTTTTATAGCCTTACAAATAACCATAAACAGAAACTCACCACAAATCTTGGAAACAAATCTAGTAAACAAATCTCAGAAACAAGGTAAAAAAATCTGAAAAATATTTAAACTAGATCCCTAAAAATAGTCTAACTATTTTGACCCAATCAAATTCTTCTTAGAGTCATCATTCGTATGGAGATGCTTTAAACTAAAATAGAAGTAGCACACAACTTGATCCAGGGACCTATCGTAGGGGTGGCCTCCAATATAGACAGCTTTTAACTAAAATAGAAGTAGCAGACAACTTTATTTTAAGAAATACTCAATAAGTGACCCTATTATTGGGGCTAGGGAATGCAAACTCATGCAAGTGACCCTACTATTGGGGCTAGGGAATGCAAACTCATGCAACTGATGATCTAGGGACCTATCTTTAAAATCATCATAGGGGTGACCTCCAAACTGGACAAAATTGGATCCCTACAAACGACCCACACATGCGAGCATGGATCTCCAAATGCTTCGCACCCTCTAGACCCATCATAGTTGAGCTAGGTGTCCATAGCGACATCCGGAGGTCAGCAGACCCCTGAGTGTCATGCAAGGCATGATCATCATTATCATCATAGTGTAAGCGTGCGTACTCATCATCATAAATGAGGAAGTAACTTGATGTATATGTACACACAAAATTCATAAGGTCTTATAGTTTTTCATCTTTACATCATCTTTATGATACAACCCTATATATTGTTCCCATATTACTCTAACATGCATGTATTGGTCTTCATATCCTTAACATTAACTAGGGTTGTGTCTGTTCAGGAAAGGGATATTGGAAGAGATAGGAAAAGATAAAATAGATCAAAGCTACAATGCTTTATTATTGTTTTCTCACTCAATTCTTAAAGGTTACACAATTCCAGTATTTATAGGCCTATACACGGGACTAGAAATAGTAAATTATGGAAATCTACTACTAACCATCTCTTAAAATTTTCTATAATCTTGGTAGTTTAAATACTTTGAGTCATATCTCCATTTTGAATATTTTGAATCATATCTCAACACTTTGAATCATATTTCAACACTCCCCCTTGATTCAAAGTTGCAGATGACAAGTACAGAGCTTTTCTTTTGACAAAGCCTTCGTAAGTATGTCTGCTTTAACTCGTTCAATGTCTTTCTCGGCTTGTATACCTTTGTTTCTTTGTCTTCATTTATGAATCCCTCTGGCTATGTTACATAGACCTCTTCTTGTTGATCTCCATAAAACTTTTCGTTTGGTAAGTCAACCATATTCCATGTTCCATTTTTCTCAATGGACTGCATCTCTACTGCCATGACTTTCTTCCACTCTTCTTTTTCAATTGCTCCTTCATAATTCATAGGGTCTGAAACAATAAGAGCAAATTGGCATGATGCATATATGTCAACTAAAAATTTATACTTCCTTGGAGGTGTCTCATCTAAAAGTTCTTCAAGAGAAGAATTGCTGTTTAGTGATGTTGAAGATGATGAATTTGACACATTTTGTGTTGCAGTGGAGACACTAGGAGATGCACTGGAGTTGACCCTTGTCTCTTCATTTGAAGAAACTTCAATTGTAATCTTTTGCTGCTCCTGTTCTTTACTCCAATCCCAACTCACGTTTTCATTAAATATTACATTCCTTCTAACTAAAATCTTTTCACTAAGGGGGTTATATAATTTATATGCCTTTGATTGAGTACAATAGCCAATGAAAATACATTTTTCAGATTTTTCATCAAGCTTTTGACGAGTTTGAGGATGTTTTAAAACATAAGCAACACAACCAAAGATCCGTAAATGACTTACATATGGTTTCCTTCCATGTCATGCTTCATAAGGAGTTCGATTCATAACAACTTTTGTTGGTGAGAGGTTTAATAGATAAACAGATGTTGCTACAGCTCCTACCCAAAATTGGTTGGGAAGTCTTCTTGTTTGTAACATACTTCTTGCCATATCCACAATAGTTTGATTTTTTCGTTCAGCGATTCCATTTTGTTTTGGAGTGTAGGGAGCTGTTAACTCCCTTTGATGCTCTCTTCTTCACAAAAGAGATTGAACTCTTTAGATATGAACTCGCCACCTCTGTCTGTGCGAAGAACTTTAATGTGATAGCCACTTTTGTTCTCCATCATAGCTTTAAAAATCTGAAACTTCTGAAAAGTTTCTGACTTATGTTGTAGGAAGTTAACCCAGCTCATGCGACTATAGTCATCAACGAATAGTAAAAGATATATACTCCCACCCAAGGACTTCGTTTGCATTGGCCTACATAAATTAGCATGAATTAGTTATAGACAATGTGAAGCTCTTTTAGCTTTTCCAACAGGAAAGAACTTCCTAGTTTGCTTGCGTTTGTTGTTGGCTGTCTCCTTCACTTGTAGTGCCTTTTCTTCATTCTTTTCTAGTGATCTATTGATTCTTGACTCATGAGCTAGAGTATTGATAGATCCTTAGCTTCTTCTATGACAGCCACCACATGGTCAAACTTTGGAGTTAAGCTTCTCAACACCTTTGCAACAATTGTTTCGTCTGAAATTTTCTCTCCATAGGTACGCATCTGACTGACTATTGCCATTACTCTTGACAAAAAATCAGCAATTGATTCGCCATTCGTCATGAACAGAGTTTCAAAATCACATCTTAGAGATTGCAATTTCACTATTATGACTTTTGAATCTCCCTGAAACTTATTTTGTAGAATTGACCATGCTTGCTTTGATGTGGTTGCTGCTGCAATTTGTGAAAATGTAGTCTCATGAATTGCTTGTTTAATAATGAACAGAGCGTTAGCATCATTTTTCTTGGTTTAACTTAGTCTCTCCTTTTCTTCAATTGTGGGTTCTGATATATCAACGAACCCGTGCTCCACCAAGTCCCATAGCTCCTGTGATCTGAGCAAGGTCTTCATCTTGATGCTCCACCACTCATATTTCTCACCATTAAAAATTGGTAACAGCGGTGCAAAGAAAGAAAAACCAACTACTGTCATTTTTGTTTTGTGAAAAGTAAAAATAATTGCTCTCTCTTGTGTTTGTGTTGACAAGAACTTGGCTTTGATACCAAATTTGTTGGGGAAACGAATATTAGAAGAGATAGGAAAAGATAAAATAGATGAAAGCTACGGTGCTTTATTATTGTTTTCTCATTCAATTCTTAAAGGGTTACACAATTACAATATTTATAGGCCTATACACTTGACCAAAACAGTAAATTATGTAAATCTAGATAAACTCAAATCTACTAACAATCTCCTAAAATTTCCTAAAATCTTGTAGTTTGTATATTTTGAATCATATCTCAACTACTTTAAATCATATCTCCATTTTGAATATTTTGAATCATATCTCAACACTTTGAATCATATTCAACCGTGTCTTAGAAAAATCATCATCATAATGCTTCATGTCATTTAATACATGCACCTCATCTTAATATGAAATAATATCATATTCAGTAATCTGATCATCCTACATCTTACATCGTCATGCTATCACGCGTCATCTTCATCATATAACACCATCATATAACACCATCGTATAACATCATATAACATCATCATATAGCATAGTCATGTCATCATAAAATATAAAGTATAAATGACTTGTGCAAATGTCAAGCACGTGTCATCATACATAAAGCAAGTCGTCTGACTGAGCCGGTAGTACGACCATTTACTTGGTTGGCCTAGGAGGATTGAAACTATAAGTAAAAGAGTACGAACATATCAAAACCATGTCTCCAAACTTGATCTCCACAAAGAGCTGGGATGATTTTGTGAAGAAACTTGAGAGAGAGAGAAAAAAAAACTCTATGTGGCAACATCAAGAGTTCTCACGACGGTTACCTTCTCTTCTCTCATCTTTCCTCTCTCTTCTCTCTCTCTTTTCTCTCTTTTCTCTCTCTTCTTTTTTTTTCTCTCTTTTATTTTCTTCTTTACTAACGCCTCATGAGGCTGAAATGACAAAATAAAAAAACAAAAAAAACTTGGAGGTTGACTTTGAACCTTTTTTCAAAATTTTCACGGTTTTCTTTTATATTTGTACGTAGTTTCTAGAATTTTTTTTTAAAAATTTATTTTTAAGTCATCAACTCTCAAATTCTAGAAGTTTGAACTCCAAAATAAAAAAAAAAAATTGGATATTAATTTTTCATTGAGGTTCGGTTGTTAGAGATAGAGTGAAAAAGCTAGAGAATTTAGAGCTCTTGTTTAGACCCAAATCTATTCTGTGTTAAAACTTTATGTTTTTTTGTTTTGAACTTGTTCATGGCTATGTTTTCTTTCGTTCGCTACCTTACTCCACTATAAATACATGCAAGGTTCCCTTTATACCTACATAAAACTTAAATTATGGTCCGTCACAATTTTTTTTTATAAAATTAATCCATTTCAATCTTGATGAAAAAATGTAATGGTTTTGTAATAAGGATGGATGACTAAATTGTGTGTAATTATAATAATCGTTTAAACCGAGAATATCTTTATGATCATGATTTTTGTTCCTAATTTTAAAATTTTCCATTTAAATTATTGTGTTACTTAGTTTCCATTTTAGCTCATAATTGTTGATAGATATGTATATTCATACTCTCTTTTAATATGTTCCATTCCCACTATAAGATTTCCATAAATAAGAAATTATTGATGATCATATATTCATTATTCATATTGGCTTTTATTTTCAGGTACGCAGTTCAAGTTGGCAGACAACCATCTTTATTTTATTCCCACCCTGTTTCCAACCCTAACATTTAGGGACGGTGACTCCGCAAGCAGCAGCAACCCGTTCGCCGCCACTAACGTAAGGCTTGAATTCTGGATTCTTAAAGTATCCGCAAAGGCACGGCGTCTGCTCTACCAACTTCTGGCAACAAGAGGTCGTCGGCGGTGTCGATGACGTAATTGCAGGAAGACATGGGCTGAGCTCCGAAGGGTTGCAGTCCACCGCATCGGCCCCCGGAGCACCAGTGAAAAGTGCCATCGTGGCCGCCGCCACCACCAAAACACAGAGACTTGAAATTGACAATCTCTTCATTACGTTGATTTTGTAAGAGGAATGATGTTAAGGTGCATGTTTGGCAAAGCATTGAGGCTGCATTTATAGTCTCGTGGAAGGGTTTAGGGTTAGAGCAAGAATTCTTTAACTAGAGATTGAGATTGAAACGTATAAGTTATAAACCAAATTACCTAATCTGATAGGTTCCTTAACTAGAGATTGAGATTCAAACGTTTAACTCATAAACCAAACACAACAACACAATTGATGAGAGAATGTATACTTTTACACGATGCACTAATTTCTTGATTCATTTCTATTCCCTTTTGATATGAGGTTTTCGCTGTCCATCCTTCCTTCCTCACCCACCTAAAGCTTATATTACAAGTAGTTGGTAGACCTTCATTTTGTGTCTAATTAATAGGTCATTCAAGTTAGGTTTATGAATTTTATTGGTTTAATTGAGGTGAAAAGTGGAAACTGTGTCAAGATCTACTAGGCATGAACCTATACCCAAAATTTTGATCAAGATTCAGAATCCGAACAGATTTAAACTCCAACATTCTTCTACGACATGCTCATGTTACTTGATCTTCGATTCTTAATCCTCACATATTAACACAAGTCTAAGAGGTCATCAAATATAGAATTACTCAAAGTAAAGCACATTTAACTATGGAATTATAATAATTGATGCATTGAAAAGGATGATGCACCTTGTTCATATAGATCTTTAATTCTTTTAAGTCTTTGTTAATTATCTTATCATCAAGATCTATCTCATTTAGATATGGTCTCAGTTCATTCAAATACTACTCATTTACTAGAATGTCACATAGATGGTAGTTGAGGTTTAAGAACCTATTAAAATATTTTAAAATATAAAGATGAAATAGGCTTAATCTACTCCACGTTCTCCACCTACTTTATATCCTAGTACTCAGACAAAAATTAAGAATAGTTTAATAATATTGGGGGAATTACCTTGATTTCAAAATGGCAAAAGTAGTAGTTTAAACAAGTTAATTCTAAATAAAGTTAAGGACAAATAAGGCAATCATCATTAGTGGTAGATGATACTATTTCTAATTTATCGTCCAATCAATAATTACGTTTCCTAATAAAATAATTTAGTGATTATTGACTTTCTAGAAGATGATATTTTTAACATTACCTTAATAGAAATGTTATATTCAAAAAATTGAACTTCTATTTTCTTTTGTATTTAAAGTTAAAAACTAAAAAGACAGCGTTTAAGGTTGAGATATTGAAAAAGAATAAAACAAGGCGTATTTATAATTAGTTTTGAGAAATATGTAGATTTAAATTTTAGTTAATAACTTAGGATTTGTTGTGTTTAGGTACTCTCCATTAAGAATTTTAGCACCACCACATATTTTGGTTTTAAGTATTTTCATACACAGCATATTAGATCAACCAATGTGAGGGACTAATGTCTAAATGCTTATAACTTAGTTAAGAAATGACTTCAATTTGAGTGTTCTATAAGTTCCAAGCACTTTGTTGCCTCGACTAGTATCTATGATCCCATCAAAAAAAAAAAAAAAAAAAAAAAAAAAAAAAAAAAAAAAAAAAAAAAAAAATCTTAAACCCTAAACCCTAAACCCCATCACATCCTCATCTAAGTAGATATCACCATTTACTCTAGGTTTTAGGAGGTTAGGCCTAACCTCTATTTTTATCTGAGTCTCTAAGAAGGCATCATAGTTTTGTATAGTTCTCTAGATGCTCATGGACCCCATTTGGGTTTGGAGGTGGTGTTTCACCCATAGCAACAAATCAATTTTTGGGGTGAACTACTTTTATGTTAACTTAGGTGACTTGAGGTAATATCTCATAAAAATTCTAGGGGATAGTATGATGTGAGCTAATCTAAACATCATCCATGGAAGGTTAGCTGGCAGACCCTCCCACGAGACCATAAAATCACTAAAATTTAGGAGATACGATCCCTGGTGCATCGAGTAGCTATTGGGTCAAATGTAGTCTCATAACCTTCTCTTAGAATTGAGTTTATAATACAGTGGTACTGTTCAAGAGACTCCTAGCTATTTTCACAAGCTTGGGACACGCACTACCCTAGTCTTGGAGTGGATAGGGTAGTGGAGAGACTTATGACACCATTCATGCTATTTATTACCTGGTGAGCTACTTTGGTTGTCCTTGGATGTTGTGGGGGTTTACTAGATTTTTAGCGGCATCTAGGCGGTTTGATTCTCAACTATTATTTTTAGGATGTTTAGGACTGAATCCTCCGCTAATCCCTACTTTAGGTGTATGCAATTCTAACCTTTTGATCGTCGCTCACACACGTACAGTCTACTAAAAATGTTCTTGGTTGCATGCGTGCTAGTCTATTTCCTAGTTGTAACTTTCCATGGATTGATTATAGGTATTTTGGTTGTTAAGAGTATGGATGTATTATGGAGAATTATCTTAGTGTTGAACTTATGTTTAAGTTTCCACTTTATATGTATATGTTTAATTCATGCTGAAAGGAGGAATGGAACTTGTGAACTCTGAGGTCTGGGAGCTTGATGGATGCTATCGCTCCGTTGAGCATGTTTGTCTATTATTGCATGAATGTTGTATGATAATGCTAGATATAGCGGGCACACTCTATTAGCTTTCATTCAGTATAACGATAAGTCTAGGGTTTTGTGGTTAGAGTGACAAGTCCCTAAGTGAAGACCTAACCCTCCCCTAGGAGCCTAAGAAACTACCACGGCATACGAACCATCTCTAGAGTACCCTTAAGTTACTTGTGTGTGATTGGTGTTATAGCTTCGTGGGGGAGCAGGGGGTTCCTGATCAGGACTCGATTGCTCCATAATCGTTTTAGCATGGGAAACGTGAGACCCACGTGATATAGACCATTTAGGTTGATTGGATAAAGGGGGGGAGGGGGTAGCCCTCCCGAATAGGGGGGTCATCATGGGCCTAAGGGGTTGCAGCTCACTTTCTAGGTAAGATACCAGGTATCCTCATAGCCATGCCGAGATAGCTACTCGCAGGGCACCAGTCAAATACAGGTTGCCATAAGGGAGCTCTTAGGGTTTAAATGAAAGGACGAAGAACCAAAGAAGCCCAAGGAGCTAAAACTAGAACTAAATGTCCTAGAGCCAAAGGAAAACCTGTGGGAGTTTGTTAAGATAAGGATGCAAAAAGAGTTTATAAGTAGGTGGCTTACTAAGTATAACTTTTATACTCATCTTTGCTATATCTTTCTTTTTCAGGTATGTGAGGTGTTAGATCAAGAGAGGGCGCGTTGAGGGATGTGGATTGTCACAGAGGAAAGCATGTCCTGGGGCATCAGTTCGGTCTTACCTATTAGTACATTTTGTCCTTCATGTTTTCTTCCATTGTCAAAATAAAACTAGTCATATATGGACTCTTGGTTTTGAAACGCTCTTCTTATGAAATATATGATTGGTTTTTGACATGATGTTTTCTTTTGAATTTCATGCATACGCACTACACGTCATAGTCATTTTGAGTCACGACTCGTTGTAAATATTAGGTCGTGACAGTATTACTATGTTATGTGATAACAATTCCACTATTAAACTATCCAAGAATCCAATCATGCATGAATGCAGCAAACGGTTCCATTTTTTGCGTGATTTGATCAAAGATGGAGTTATTGAGCTGAAGCATTGTGTCACACAATTAAAAGTTGCAGATATTACTACCAAACCATTAAAGTTGTATGCGTTCATAAAACTACTTGAGTCAATGGGGGATGTGTGTAATACAACTAGTAAGCTAAAAGCATCCCGCCATAAATTTAGTGGGAGAAATTGTTAAAAGGGTGGTAGTAGACCTGAAATAGTGGGCCTAGACCATATTTTTAGGGTGTCCAATGAAAAATTTGATCGTGGAAAGGTGAGCAAATCACATGACAACATGGGATGAGTTTAGTCCACACAAAAAGGATGTAGCAAAGCATCGTATAACACAACAAAATCAACTAGTTGCACATTAACATAGAACATGAAAAGTGTAAAAATGTCGGTCATGTACATGCAACATATTAAAAAGAGGCTCAATCTATTTTGTTTTTATGCACCATATAGTTGTTGCACTAAAATATTGGAAAAAAATGTAAGGATCGAGATGACGCAATGGCTCTAAAAGACTGGTAAATTTTTCTCGCTAAATAAAACCATTAAAATTTAAAACATAATTTACATTAACAAGATAGTGTGCGCACATTATTAACTTAAAATACAAAATACTGTTAAAATACAAAATAAGGAACCGATAGAAAACATTTTAAAACTAAGCCGGAATTTCCCGCATTTTTTTAATCCCGCGCAATATTATTCAAAAAATATTAAAATTAGTGAAGGAGCAATGAAACTAGTCTCTTTGTGAATGTTTGATTAATCCACCACACCCAAATGGTGGTGAGAGTTCTCTTATTTATAATCATTTACAGAATACAAGGTAAATTACAAATAATAAGAAAATAGCGATAAAAGGAAATAATAATAAATGAATACAATATATTTGTATTTAGTAAAAGGGAAAATATGGTAACCCGTAATGTAAGGCAAATATCTAGATATTTGCCTTATAATGAACGGTCAACTATCCTTAACACCCCCCCGCAAGCTGAGCGTCGGATTTGAACGAACATGAAGCTTGGATCTGAAAAATTCAAAGAGAGGTCGAGAAATACTCTTTGTGAAGATGTCAGCAACGTGGAGATGAGAGGGTACATATTGTGTACGAAGTTTGCCAGCGATAACAAGTTCTCGAAGAAAATGATAATCTAGTTCAACATGCTTGGCCCGCTTGTGAGAAACAGGATTAGAGCTCAAAAAAATAGCACTTTTGTTGTCACATAAGAGTAAGGGCTGCTGTGAAATAGGGACCTTGAGGTCATGCAAAAGATGCGTAACCCAAAGAAGTTCAGCAGCAGTTGTGGCAAGAGCACGATACTCAGATTCACAGCTGGAGCGTGATACAGTAGGTTGCTTTTTGGCACTCCAAGAAATGAGATTGTTACCAAGATAAATAGAATAGCCGGATGTAGAACGACGAGTATCGGGACAACCAGCCCAGTCAGCATCCGAATAAGCGACTAGCGTACTAGGAACAGTTGATGGACGAAAGATAAGATCAAAGTGGAGTGTTCCTTTGACATAGCGGAGAATACGTTTGACAGCAAGAAAGTGATCTGCAGTAGGGGCATGCAAGAATTGACTGACAGAATTGACAGCATAGGCAATATCTGGACGCGTGATAGTCAAGTACTGAAGGGCGCCAACAAGAGATCTGTAGAGAGTAGGATCAGAGAAAGGAGAACCATCAGCAGTCAGGTGTTGAGAAACAACCATGGGAGTGTGAACTAGTTTGCTATCGAGCAACTGAGCACGAGTAAGAATATCTCGAGCATATTTTAACTGACTGATAAAGAGACCATCAGAAGTGGGTGGAGCTTCAAGACCAAGAAAGTAACTGAGAGAACTCAAATCTTTGGTAGCAAACTCAGAATGAAGCTTGCGAGTAAAGCTGTTAATAAGAGATGAGTTGTTGCCGGTAACAATAATGTCATCAACATAAAGAAGCAAATAGATAAGGTTAGATTGCTGATGAAAGAAAAAAAGGGACGTGTCAGCGCGACTGCAAGAAAACCCAAGTGTGAGAAGAAATGAGCTAAAACGCTGAAACCAAGCACGAGGAGCTTGCTTTAAGCCATAGAGAGCTTTCTGTAATAGACAAACATGCATAGGAAATCGAGGATCAACATACCCAGGAGGTTGTTCCATATGAACACGT